GGAATTTGTTAAAAAGGAATCTTTTCATTTTTGTTATCACATTTCCCTTGTAGGCAACACAATATTATCTTGAAGGGGAGGGGGAGGACTCTCATATGAAATGGTCGGGGGTGCTTGTCGTGTTGCTTAGGGATGTAATTGAGGATTCTGGTCTCACTTAGGGTATTCACGGTGAACGCCACTATTTTAAGCTGGTTAAGTATCTTTTAGGTCGCACTCAAAGAAATAATAATAAAAAATCACTCTTGTTTCCGTTTTTATCCTTCATTTCTGCCGGTCACTTGAGTCCAGTATTCTAGCACAGGCTCCTTTCCTGAACAGTGGCTGGTAATCGAGCCTATTTCATTTTAACTGGTATGTTTTAGGGGTCAAATAAAGCTCAAACCACAGACAGGAATGGTCTCATTTAGGGGTTTAATTGAAATTTCCCAACAAGCATCCCCCGGCCTTTTCATATACGAGTCCCCCCTGGGAATATTATCAAGAAACTGGTTATTTCAGACAGTTTTTTTTTCTCTAGACAAAATACTGAATAGTCTTGAAGTGTGTCAACTGCAATATAGGACAATTCCCACTATTATTCTTTTCCATGAAATTCCCTATTGTGCAGAAATGAGTACAAAAGTAGCATATTTAGTTGTAGAACTTTTTTATTACTTGTTTGTTGCAGAAAATGTTTCTTTGTTGAACTGTTTCTTTCTGTAGTAGCTTGATGTTGCTGTTAAATAGAAAGCAAATCAGTTTGGTAGCTCAATTTTTTAATCCCAGCTTTCCAGCCCTGTTTGTATTTTAATCCTAATTTATGAGGAATAAGCCTCAATTACAATGAGTATAATAACTGGTTGTTAGTCTATGTGAATTTGTGGCAAAATAATCTAGCCAAGTTCTGCTCATTGACTGCAGACTTGTGGAACATCCTTATATGGCACCATGATCTTGTTTTATGTTTTAGTCCGTTATTTTGTAATCCTTGATATTCACCTCTGAAAATTATACTAAAACAATTATTCGCTTCAGGCTCAGTGACCATTATGTTGAGCCTGTCAACCCTCTGCATCTGTCATGTTCACTGGTGTTCCCCTCAAAAAAACCGTTCAAATTTTCCAAAATTTCTCTCGGGTGTTACCATCAGGCTATGTAAAAAACACGCGCGAAAAACAAGATTTATTCAATTAACAAGGCACATAACCACAAAGCTTTCATAAGTTTTATTCATGACGATACGTTTCCTGTTTCCCTTCTGTAGTTTTCAAGAGACGACCTTTACTCGACGAGTCCATTTATTCAACTAACGGATAAAATGCTACACAC